CCAGTTTTCCGAATATTTTTCGTGCCTGTAAGATATGTAGCTCTTTTATTCTGGGACATAAAATGCTTTATTCATCAAAATTATTTATGTTTTAAAATCTTTGTATTTGATAATCGACGAGATATTGTTAATTTAAAAACTGAAATGGGGTTGTAAAAATAAGGTGGTCACTTTTAAAAGACCTTGTTGCAAGCAGTGCTGGGTATTTGCCATTTGTTGGCTCCGGGCTCCGGGGTTTTAAAATATTGGCTCCGGCTCCGGAGCCGGCAATTTTCGAAGGCTCTCCATGTTGGCTCCGGGCTCCGGGTGGAAAATCAATGAATTATTTTTTATTGGGTGATTTGGGTAGATAAAGGGGGATATCGAGTCATATAAGAGGATTAAGAGGGTTATCAATGGATTAAGCGGGTTTTGGGTGGATTATCGTGTTATTTAGCTGGATTAATGGCGATATCGGGGGATTAAGGGCTAGAATTTTCTAAAAACAAAAGTGCCATCTTCAGGATTAAAAAAATATTTGTGAAAATTTGTTTCGCTAAGCTTTTATATTATAATAATCATAAAATTAAAAAGAATTTAATTTGAAATATTCAAAAATATTAAATAATTTTAATTAATAAAATAAGAATTCTCAACCAATACGCCGAAGCCGCAGCCGAAGCCATGGACACAGCAAAAGCAATGTATTTTTAAAAAATTTTATTTTATAATTTAAAATTTTATTTAAAATTTAATTCAAAATTCTAGAAAATTAAAAAAATATTTGGGAAAAGGGTGGGGCTCTAATTGAAAAGGGTGGGGCTCCCTTATTATCCCCTATTATCTATCCAAACGAAATCTGTTAAAAAAGATTTTTGGATCAATCCAGAATAAAAAACTTCAGAACTAAATTCTAAATATTTTATTTTTTAATCTAGTCAAATAGCCGTAACAGTTGATAAATGCAGGAACAAAGAACTATTTTGACAAGAAAAGAAACAAGAAATTTTAAACATTGTGAACATCGAGAATAGGGGGTATTTAACAAAAATGGGGTATTTAACTGAAAATGGGTGGGTAATGTGGGGTATTTAACATTGGGAGTATTTAACAAAAAATGTTATATTTGTGGGGTATTTAACTGAAAATGGGTGGGGAATGTGGGTATTTAACTAAAGTAGGGGGTATTTAACTGAAAATTGTTGGGAAAATGGGGTATTTAACTAAAAATAGAGGGTATTTAACTGAAGATGGGTAGGGGAATAGGGGGGGGGTATATGACAAAAAAAATTGGGTTACTTAAAATTAACAGTATTTTTTTAAAATTATTTTTTGTCGGGATTATTTATTATTTTATATGATTATTTATTTATATCTTTATTTTAAATTTTGGTACTATGCGTCTATCTATGTACATGGCTCCCCGAAAGTTATGCACTGGAAAATTGTTCACTGGAATATTGTACACTAGGGCGGATTGCAGACATTTTTGAACATTTGCGTACATAAGGGAGATAAACGCATAGTACCATAATCCTTTGTGAAGCATAAAATTGTTGATAAAGTCGGACATTTGATTGTAAGGCCTAACATTCTAAAATCACTATACATCTGTACTCTTGCTGAGTGTTATTGTAGGTCGCAATTTTTTCAAAAATAGGAAATGACCATAAAAACATTGTTCCCAATGCAAGATATTTTGTTGTTCACATATAAGTAAGACAATCAAAATTTTTTTTGTAGTTGAAAATTTCAACTTTAGGATTTTCGATTATTGCATAAAATACATAAGAATTTTTAACATTTCTGTCTTAATTAAGACAAATTATTGATGTTGATAGTTTTCTGTCAATTTAAAATTCAAGTTACCAAAATTCCAAGGATGGTTTGAACTAATTACCGTAGCCAGGTTAAGGAAAATATTAGGAGGTCATTTGCTTAAAAGGAAGTAAAATAATTATTTAATTTATGTGCCGAACGGTCACAATTTTCCCCAAAATTATTAATTTATTTTTAATTTTATTTTCGATTCCGCCCATTCATTTATCTCTCATTTTCACCTAACTTTGCTTTGTACCGCCAATTTCTTCTCTATTTAACGGCTTTTAAGAGAAAAGCCAGCTTTTTAGCTCAGTTGTTGAACTCCCAGTCTTTACTACCAGCTTCCTACAAGCTTATACCTACCAGCCTGTTGTTTCCTCCTCTTTTAATATATTTGGAATTTTTAATTTAGGTAAATAAACTTTTTCTTTTAAAATATTTTGTGTTTGAGTCTAGGGTCTTAAGGTACAAATTGCCATACCCGGCACAATTTATCATTTAACAAAATTTTGCCATCATTGGCATTAAATTGATTTACTAAAATATTCTTTTACTACAATGTTCAAGAAAATTCATCAATCGCATTTAAATCGAAACGAGTTGGTTAATAAACAAATACTTGAATTATGCGAAAAAAAGAGTTGCGTCGTAATTGAGTTGTTTCCGCGAACTGATATTGGTGTCATTCGACCCAGCTCGCCGTCAGGGCTGCACGCAATTGATCCGCAACTCGCAATTCCTATTTAAAAATCCGCAAACGCAAACCGCAACTTACAATTACAAAAATCCCCGCAATTTATGCAATCCGCAACTCGCAATACGCAATTGCGTGTCGAGCAGGCGTGCAGCCCTGCTCGCAGAGCTCTTTCAAATGACATATAAATTGTTCAACACTAAACTCGCTACGTAAAGTTTGTCAGCCGAAATTTTTCCGATATTTTCGTAATCTAATTCGTAATTACGACGCAACTCCGCGAAAGATTAAAGAAAAATGTGACTAGGATTATCGGTTCGGTAACGAATCAAAGAACTGGAACTAAAATTACAAATTGTTCGGGTTTCTTTTCATTTTTCATTCTGAGCATGAATCTCGCTCTCTCTCATTTTCGTCGACTCAATAAACTCATCTAGAGCTTCCGAAAAGGGTTTGTATCCGTCGTGTTCGATTTCTTCAAATTTAGAAATTTCAGGAAAAGGTTCTTCATCGTCTTTTTCTTCTATAGCTTTCTCAACAGTCTCGAGAAAAGTCTCAATTTGTCCGTTTGGAAATTGGTTGATTGCTTTTTTAATTTTGTTGGAGCTTTCAATGAGTGTGTTTGGATTGGATTGTTGATTTTCTCTTTAATAATTTTAATTATTATTTCACTAAGATATCTGGCAGCATTTACATGGGTTAAATTAATTCTGCCGGTGGAAGGGTTTGGAGCTCTACTTAAATTCTTAACCCGGTCATACTTGGCTATGTATTAGAATATCCGTCAATTGCCAACACCATTTATGGTGATAGCAATGGTTTGCTTATTATTGGAAATTGCTTGTCATTTTCAGTAAAATTGAATGCAGTGCCTTTTTAGCAAGGGTTGGTATGATATACTTTTTTGACACTTACGGCCAACCGACATTTGATTATTTAAACAAAACTAACCTTAACAATTCGTTAACGGCAACGGGAAATTCTTCAATAAATTTTGTATGATCAACAACAATCCCCACTCCCATATATTCAGCAGCTTTTGCATTAAACTTTTGCTCAATATTAAATGGAATTAAAATTAATGGAACTCCAAAATAGAGAGCCTGGAAAATTATTAATTAATTTTATCTTAAATTTTTTTTATTTATTTTGTTTTTAAAAATTAGCAATTCAATTAAAACCTCTAAAAATTAATTTTTCAGATTATTTGAAGGAAGGCCTTCCGGAAGGTCCCTGGAAGGTTTTCCGAACCTGAAAACAGGTCGTGTCTTTAATACCACCCCCATCCAGAGATATGAAAAACTTTAAAATGAATTTTTAATACCTGAGTAAAGCTTTTCTGATCACCGGCATTAATAAAACCGCGAATATTTTTTTGTGCTGAAAATTTTTTGTTGATTTTTAATTCTTTTTAAAAATGATTTTACAATTATCAATATTTTATTTTATACTTTTTATAAAAATTGTGATTTAGTTACTGTTAATTTTAATAAGATTTAATTAACAGGAGTAAGATTTCTTATGCAGAATTTCGTTTTTTAGTCTTTCTTGTTCTCCTACGGAATGGCCCATCCTTACTTTTTAATAGGTAGACCAAAAAATGCAGAATTTCCTCAAATATGCATCAATATGCACGAATGTGACGATATATGGAAAAATAAGCATTAAAACCTGGTCCTCAAATGCTCGGACTAATGAAAAACATCATGTTGTGCTTCTTACTTCAAGGCTTATTTGCATACAAAACATCATTTGTATGTTTTATCCACCCCTATTAATAAAATTTTACCTAAAAATTTTTGCTGATCAACAGAAAAATTGTAAAAATAAATATTTTTTTGAATATGCATTCTTGAACCCCAGGAGAAAGAATGTAAAGGTGGATATATTCCATGAATAACAAATCTACATTTGTCAAATTTTAAAAATGTGCTTATTAATTCATTTAAATGTTTCGAAGTAAATCCATTCAAAGTAACGTCTTTATTCCAACAGAATAAAACAAAGCAATCCGTCTAAAATAAAATTGTAACAGAAAAATTGTAAAATATCGAATAGAAACTCAAATCCATTAATTTTAAACACGTGACACTACTAATAAAAATTGTATTGAGGGTGATCAAAAAAAAAATAAATCATTTTACTTTGGAATGCGCATTTTTTGAGATCTTTGGGAAGGTTTTCTATCATCATCAATTATATGTTTGGAACGGATTTCTAATTTATAACCTTTTTTTTCTTAAATACAAAGAAGCTCTCAAAATACAAAGAGGCTCTTCACAAGGAAGCTCTCAATACTGTTATTTTTTTTATTAATCTATGAAACCTATTGAAACCTATTTTGGAGTTTTGCATATTAAAATACTCTATAAATTATTTTTAATGTTTTTATGTTTTTGTTACCTATTTTGCCATTTTATAAAAACTATTTAGATACCTATTTTAAGGTTTATACTACATAAAATCCGATCCCTAATAAGCTTTTGTCCCTGCAATCGTTGTAAGGGACGAAAAAAGAATAAATTTTTGGGGGCATGGATCTTCTAAATAAATTCTTATGACATTTGAATTTATAATGTACCTTAGTGAAGTTTTAATAATTCTTTGATACGTTTAATCAAGGGGTGGGTAGAGGGGGATTATTTTCATCATTATTATTTTCCAGATCAAAATCTGGAAAATCGATTTTTATCAAAAATACCCGGATTCCGGATTACCGTATCCGGACTTGATTAATACCTTTTTAATCCAGTTATATACTGGGTCTTCAACCATTGTTGCTTTACCCTTATTTTCCGCTTTTTCTTTGAATTTCTTTTCATGCTCATTTTTAAAGATTCCTTCCATTTCTACTTCAATACCTCCAATATTAACAATTCTTTTTGGAGTATTTGGAAAGGAAAATTGTCCAAGTGGATGGGAATTTATTAAATAATATTTTGATTTTCTTAATAAATCCCACATTTTTGGCATTTCTTCAATGCTAATTAATTGATGAGCTTTCAATAAATTTTTATTTAATGCCCTTTTCCTTGCTAACTTTAAATATTCAACTTTATTTTGTTCATAAAATTTAGAATAGATTTCTGGGTGGATAAGCTCTGAATTAGTAAATTTAAAAAGTTAATTTGGTAGGCAAATAAATTCGAGGTTATACTTATTAAAATGCTCTTTTAACATAATTCAAAATAATCTCTGGCATAGATCAGGTTTTTTCGGAATTCGATAATACTGGTGTAGGTACCGAAGAATTATTTGCCGCTGTCAAACCAGAAGACCTATTCCCTAATGACCTATTTTCTAGAGTTTAACCGGAAGTTCAGCTTCCGGTATCCGAAACTCAAATTGAATCCGGTTTCGGCGGTTCCGGTCAAAATTTCTGTTCCGATGATAACTCCTATTTACATGAAGGACCTACAACTTTTAAAAAGGAATAATGGGGGTTTTGGAGGGATAAGAGGATATCGTTGGATTTGGTGTGATTGAGGGGGATAGTGAACTCTACTCGCCCAGAGTTATGGTACATGCTCACAATACCGCACCATTAATGATAAAAAACAGAACTCGTTACTTATTTTCATAGAGCTGGTATTTATCACACGTAATCCTTCAAATCCCTCGCTAATCCGTCTAAAAAGTTGTGGTTTTTGGGTCAAAAGGTCTCTGGGTGGGGTGGACTCCTTTGCCGAACACCAAGTTAAGAGACTGTATGCAAAAAATAATTGCATACCATTCATTGTATAATAGCTTTTCTGTCCAAGAAAATGCAAATGAATGGGTAGAGCAATTGATGAAGTTGCAGCTATATACTTCTTTAATCCCATTTCTTCAAAAATTGGAAATGCCCCAAAAGCAAACTCAGCAATTCCCAATGCAAATTTGTTCGTTTCCCCCATATGTTTAAGCCAGTCAAAAATCCTTTGTTTTATTCCATAGATTTCAACCATAGGATTTTCTATTATTGCTTAAAAGAGTGAAATTTAAAATATTTTCCAATCTATGTATTGAGTACTTTATTGGAAAATTAGGTTTACAGAAGAGAGGATTCCCGGTCTCTAATAAGTATTTTGTTCACCAAAAAAATTGGTCAATCTAGAACGAGATCGTGACAAATTGATTATGATGATCAATTGAGGATGTGCTCGCCTGAGAATCACCCCCTTATCAAGTTATCGAGTGATTAATCAAGTGGTGGAGTGAGTCTTTTAACTAAAACTTGTTTAAGGTCCGCGCTCAACACAAAAGATGAACAAAATTCTGGTACCCACTTAGTTATATGTATGTATTACCTTTTAAAAAACGAATTTTTAGCTAACCTTTATATGCGGCATACATATAAAATCCTAAAGCTTTCAGGGGTTGATAATCCTTTGCATTATCTTTAACATTCCAATTAGGTTCAGATTTATTTACGTCAAATACTTTCGAATACTCTTCATCCTTCATATACGGTACTTGTATCATTCTAACATCTTTTAAAGGCTTTTTCAGATTTGCATTTTCATTGTACTTAACAACAAGTAAATACTAAAAATACAAATTAAATTAGAACCGTAAAATTTCCCCGCTCCTTGACATTTTCACCCCGAAGGCTCGGGGAGCTGTCAAAGTGAGACCGAGTGCTGATTTTGGTGTCACTCGGCTCAGCTCGAGGAGCTCTTTCGAATGAGCTATCATTAAAAAATCAAATTTTCTACCCCCAAATTGGGCTTAATCCCTCCCCTCCGCCTATGGTTTTTCAATTTTCAGGGAGCTATATCTTGGTTCACAGGCATCTCCGCTCTTAGAGAGTGGTTCTTTTGACTAAGCTCTCAGAGGCGAAGCGAATAACAAATTTTTTGTCCATGTTTGAAGCGAGTTCTCGATTAAACTATATCCGTTTCCTGAAACTCATATTAGAGTTCCACTTACCACGTTATACTTGCCGATGTGACATAAAACATTTGCAAGTGTTAACTAAAAATTATTCGAATAATTAATTAAAAATTTTGTTAGAATTTATGGGGTGGGTAATAGAACCCCATGGGGGTATATTTTTCAACTATCCATAAAGATGGTCTCTATTTCAGGGTGGGTAATTCAGAGTGGGGTTTTATTTACGGAAATACGGTATTTAAAAATTAATATGTATAGTAGACAAGATTTTATACTTTTATTTTTTAAACTTACGAAAAAATTGTAACTTGGGTAATGCGCATCAGTTACAATAATTATTTTCTTTCCTTTATCTGTTTTTAATTGTTGAATGGGTTGAATACTTGAAGATGATGAACCTTCATCGGGGTTTTGTTGAAGATTACTTTCCCCTTCAACGACTTTATGCATACAATTAACATTGTAATATAGCAGAAAATAACAAAGAATTAAAAAAGAATTAAGCCAAAAAATTGAAAACATTTTTTCGGCTAAAAATGGAGAATTAAATATTAAAATTCAAAAATTAAAAAAAATATATAAAAAAAAAATTTTTGTTAAATGATGGCGGGCAATAATAGAAAAAAAAGATATGATTTGGAAAAAGATAAGTGTATGTTTACCTATTGGGGTGTAAAATAAGTTCTGTTTTAGGGGATATTTTCATGAATATCGCTTTATGGGTATACATCTCTAGCAAGGAGGCGGTTCCGGGTATCTGGAACCGAAAAAATTTCTGACTATTACTCAACAATTTTTACCATAACACATAATACACACCAAATATATCCTCTCAAAATCCTAAATACAAGAAATATGACACCAGGGGCCAATAACAATATCAGAGCCGAACCATGTTGACTCCGGCTAGATAAAGGGGAATATCGAGTGGTATCAGAGGATTAAGAGGGTTATCAATAGGATTAAGACGGATTTGGGTGATAAAATAACTTAATATAAAATAATTTAATAAAAAACTTTAATATTTAAATGTATAATTTAACTCTATAAAATAATTTAATGTAATGCCCTTTACATAAAATAATGTAAAGGGCATTTGAGAGGGAAAAATCATACGTGTAGCTATCGAGAGAGAGAGAAGAGGAGCGAGCGTTTAAAAATTTTTAAAAGTCAATAATTGATAAAATTAAATAATTTAAAATTATAAATGTTTAACAAATGTTTAATATTTTAAAAGTTTGTCGAATGTTTATCTTATTAAAATATATAATTACATATTACATACTCGATACTGTATATTTTTAAAAATTTTAAAATCACATAAACAAGTCTTGCGAGAGTCTATCGAAAGACACTTCCGATTCTTATGAGAACGTAAAAATTGTTGATTTGGCCTTTAATAATGGAGACGGATGATAAGATAAAAATTAATTTATGTTTGGGACTAAAAAGGAGAAGACGAGATCTCGTCTTCTTATTTGTAATAATATTTTCATTACAAGTTGCAAAGCGACTTTTATGTAATACATACGAGCGGTTATGTTTGACATAATTATCACCCAAATCCCTCTTAATCCAGCTAAATTCCCCGATATTCCCCTTTATCTACACGATATCCCCCATTATCCACCTTTATCTCCCCCTTTATCTACATTTTAATATTCAGGGCGGGGTATGTTTAGGGTTTTGGAACAAAATCTTTTGTATCTAGATGGTAGTAAACTCAGTAGCCTTGCAAAATGCCCACAAAAATTTTTTAAAGAGCCCGCATTTGCTTATCTCAAAAAAACAGTTTGAAGTCTTATCTCAAAATTGTGAATCAATTTTATGTGTTCTACAATAAAATTCTATTGAATCTATTAAACCTACTAATTCTGCTTTATATGCATCCCGGCCTAATTTAAATTAATTTTCAGCCAGGGATAGGATTTAGTTATTTTCGAATGTGATTTGCCCAATTTATTTAAACTTGTAAAAAATATCAAAAATAAAATTTTTATTTAAATTTTTAATTATTTTAAATGTTTAAAAGGATGCCCTTTTTGCCGTCGATTTCGCCATATTTTTGCACTCTCTTTTTAGTGGCTTGCCCTTTTTTTGAGAGTCATGCCTTTTTTCATAATTAAGAAAGAGCCTCCCTTTATAAATCCTCGCATTCTTTCATAACATAACAAATAAAAAAAAGATAAAGTGCAAAAAAGATTTAAGTGTTTAGCGAATAATAAACAAAAAAGCCGACAAAAAGACTGTTTTTAAATAATAAAGTGCATATAAAATTTTAATTACACAATAGGAAATTATGAAATGTTTTAATGAATTAAATAAAAATTTAAAAATATTTATTAAATATTCTTTTAATTATATAAACTTGAAGTCTTCTTTCCCTGTATATTGTTAGCCTTATTCGTGTTTATAAATTTGAAAAAAATTTATAAAAATATGTCGGGCTTTGATTGAAATGAATTTCATTCCCGTTGTTGGAAATAATTTTTTTGGAAAGTGGACGTATAATTTTTGGAAAAGGACAAATTTTGGTCTAAAAATTTTTAAAGTAAAAATTCTGTCAAAAATCCATACAAATCTTGTTAGTTATTCACTAAAAGGTGTGTATTTAAATTTTCAGAAAATTCGGATCAATAAAAATAAAAAAAATTTATAAAATGGGGTGTTTGTATACGGGGTGGGGCAAAAGTCGGAGGAACTGAAAGTTGTTTTGGAGCGGGCTTGAAACGAAATAACCAATGAACAATGCGCGACCATTGTGAGTAACATCCGTAAGCGTTTGGATGTGTGTATTGATGTCAGGGGCGGTCATTTTGAGCAATTAATTTAATAAAATGATTATTATATCCTATTGATTATACATATGTATTTCATCATTTTTTATGTTAAATAAATTTTTTTAAATATGCAGATTTTATTAAACATATTTGTCGCGGGTTGTGGTCGTTTTGGCGCGAGAACTAAAAACTGGTACTTAGGCGAGACCTAAATTCATAGAAATTTTATCAAATTTCTTTAACATCCTTGACTACCTTCAATAGAAATTTCAGAATTTTTTATCAAATATTTCTGAAGTTATAGTCGACTGACCTCGAAAAATTAGGCATTTTTCAGAAAATCAACAATTTTTTATAATAAATTTTATTATTAATTTAATATAAAAGCTTTACAAAATTTTATCATTTTTGATAATCAACTCGCTATCTTATAAGCTCGCGCCAAAATCGGCACAGTCCTTTTGTCGCCGAACTTTTGCCCCACCCTGTAATTTTTCGTTACAGTGTACATGTTTTGTGGAAATAAATTTTAAATAAAAATAAATTTTATTATTAACCAAAAAATTTAAAAATAAATTTAATATGGAAAATTAAAAATAAAATATCAAAAAATTTTTTTCATTAAAAGTCGTCCAAACAATAACGTTGTTCACTTATATTTTCTGTTTGAGGTATTTCTGATAGATCGAGCAACCCAATATCAAAAAATTTTTCGACTTTTCCATGGTGTATATATTCGTTTCCAACTTTAATAATTGTTAGACGATGGCACGTCTGGAAATAAAAATAAAAAAATTTTTAAATTATTTTAAAGATTTTAATGTAAAGGCTTCGGACACATTATAGGAACTGCGATATTTTTATATTTATTGCTAAGAGATTGATGTTTCACCGGAACCGAAATTCTGAACAGAACCGGAACCGGAACCGGAACTTTAAAAAACTTTTGCAGGCAAATTTTATAAAATTTGTATTTTAAGTAGGGTTGTTGATTCACCAAATTCCTTTGTTAACCAAAACCGAACGGAAAATTTGTAGGCGATAGTGATATATTTGGATTAGAGTATGGTGTATAAATGGATTTGTCGGATATACGTGTTTGATATCGGGTAATATAAAGGTTCTGAATTGTAAGAGGGATTTAACGGATATCAGTAAGGTAGATGATCCTATGTCTAAAGGTTTTAAATTCTAACAAGCTTTGAACCTCTTTCTATAATCTATGAATCAAGAAATTTCAGAAGTCTATGGGTTTAGGAAGGGGAAAACTGTGCAGATTAAGCCCAAATCATTTTAAAAGCTATTATACAGTAATATATCTAGGTATATACAATTTATTTACCCTCATAAAAACCTTTAGACCATCATCACAATCGTGTATAATTCGCAATTCTGGTTCAATACTCAGCAATTCTCTGGTAGTCCCATCCAAAGCAAAATTTCCATATTTATCAGTTACTCCCTTATCCAATAAATCATCGGGATCGCCAGGATTTCTATCAACATCAAGTAATCCAACATTTATATGAGCGGCAGGTATTCCTTTGCAAAAAAGTTGTCCTTTCACTGCAGCACCCTGCAGACGGAAACTGGAGGCTTTATTGAAGGAGGAGAGAAATAGGAGAATTGAGAGGAGGGAATGACTGAAAATGGGGAAAATTTTTTTAAATTTCTTGAATTTGGTTTTTAAAAAAAATTTGGTAATAGTTCGTTTGTGTTGATATTTCCGATATCTCGTTTTTTACTAAGGCACCTAATCAGAGCTGGAAGCAATTGAAAAAAATTTTCCGCAGCCGCAATCCGCAACGCAATTTCACGCAATACGCAAATGCGTCCAGCCCTATACTTAATGGAGATTTATTTTAAATCCAAGTTTGTATAATTAAGTGATCAGCTCTGGGAATCAGACCAGCTGTCTACAGCGGTCTGTGAGTTATTAACTCAATGCGTGTAGATTACCTATTCTACATCTACTTGACTAAATTGTCAAACCACCTTGGCGGTGGTTAGAATTACAAAAGCTATATATTCATGGATTAGGGTCTGCCCTTCCTGTCTCTATATCTCCTATAGAGGTGAACCATGACCGTTTTGCCCCTTTTTTCTATAGCTCTCCGTAGGAAAAATGTTCTTTATGAACAATCTATTAACTAGAAATTTTGAAAATTTTTTTATTAAATAAAAATCTACCATAAAGCCTTAGAGCTTAGAAAGCTTGAAAAATAATTCTGCATTTGTTTTGATTAATTTTTGGGAAAATGTCTGATGGAAGAAATATTTTTGTTATTGCTTGGCCCTTATTTATATATACTTTTAAAAGAAAAATAGCAAAAATAACGGCCAAATACCCTTCCAAATGTTTTAAAATACTTGAGGAACTCTTCCATCACGTTATGGCTTATTGCCCACACTCAAAGTAGCAAAAGCTTTTCCTTTCTTTTTTATCATTTGATCATATGTTTAAAAATAAAAATATATATTAAGTAACACAAAATCAACAACATTTGCTTTTATTTTTAATAAACAAAGCGATAAAAAATTAATAAACAAAAAATATTAATTTATTTTTGGAAAAAAGGGACTTTAATTTATTTAAAAATTTTATTTTGGACATTCACCTTTGTAAATTTATATTGGAACTTGAAGTTATAATAAAAAAAATTTTTATATTTTTATTATAAGATCGCGTGATACTGGAGCAAATTGCGGGCAACTTAGTGTTGAGCAGAGGCAATAGGATGAATCGCTGTCAGTGTAGTTGAGGTGAAAGACCGAAGGTAAATTTTTTCTAATGTTGGCCGGAGCATAAAGTAGTTGTTTGTCATTCATTATTAAGTGATGCCGTTAGAAATATTTAAGTCGAAATGAGAGAATTACAAAAGGATATCCGCTTCAATAATTCATAGTTTATATGCATGGAATAATCGTTCAGAGAGATTATTAAGTGATCGAGCGCTTGATTGAATGAACACTTCCTTTTAGTCTATTTATGGTAATGAAATTAAAATATCATAGTTTCCATTTATGACTAAAATTTAAAGCTATTACCTGAACCGAAATTTTGACCGGAACCGGATCAAATATGAATTCCGACCCTGAACTAGACCGGAACCAAAAAGACACCGGAACTTTCCGGAACCGGAGCTTACGGTGAAACTCTAATAATTATATTTTTATTTCTTTAATTAAAATTGAATATAATTTATTTTTTTTTGTCGAGCAAATAAAATATTGAAATTTTATTTCTCGATAATTCCAATTTACATAATTTTCGGGCATATTTATGTTATTCTAAATATAGTCCTTTTTTGTTAAATTCTGATAACGTTTTGTTGAATTTTAATAATTATTTAATCAGTGTAACTCAGGGGGGGGGGACTCAAAACTTAGTTGATAACATATTAAATTAGAATCTATTATAAATTTATATTTTGATAATTTCAAAATTAAATCTAGTCCCGTTAAATTATTTTAATTATTGTAAATCAATATTCAATAAAATGAATAAAGGGCATCATGACACTTAACATTATTTAATAACTAACATGGGATTCCATTAGCCATTCATAATATTGCATTTCAAAATTTAATTTATAAATAAAATAATAAAATTTAATAAAGGCTAACGTTTTATTAACAGACTTCCATGGATTCCTTTTGATATACATATCCCGTAATCCTATAAACCCATATACACCTTAATCCTCTAAATATTTTTGTGTAGTACTTTTATATCTTTCTTTAGTACCAAAATTGTTAAGGTCCAGAAAAGTTTCAGGTAGTTATGGCTTTGCGCCTACCTGGCCGCGCGCCTACTTGGACGTGTCCCGCTTGATACGTTATAAAAATTTTGGCTCTTGAAGTTTTGCGTGTTTTCAAACAATAATCCATTTGTATTCCATTTATATCCCGCTTATTGTATTATAGAACTGGGTATCGTATAGCTAAACACATGGAAAACTGGGACTAAGACATGCAATGCTTTCTAATTTGGAATCTAATTTACCGTAAATCCTCTAAAATAGGCCACCTTTAAAATAAGCCCCAGGGATTATTTTAGAGGATTTACGGTAGCTAATGGTGTTAGGCTATTCATAGCATATTTAAAATTCACAAAAATTTTTTTAGAAATGATATCTAAAACTAAATTATTCGTTTTCTTCAACTTATTTCAAATTATTATTTTTATTAAATCTGTCAATGCTGTACATCTACAATTTAAAATTAATAATTTGGACACTAACTACAAAAACGTTAGAATTAAATGTCAATCTGAACACATTCACTTGAACATAAGTTTCGTCCCAAATTCGGTCGCTACAAACATTTACTCTGGAAAAGCATGCCATCAAGGCAGATATAAATTAGTTATAGCTGATCAAAATAACGTAAATTTTAAATTTAAATTAACAAAGTACACTGCTCAACATAATTATATGTCCACCCCTTTTTTCGAGATTTTTTCACTTCCAATTATCCAAATTTTCTGAAAATTTAGATACACACCTTTTAGTGAATAACTAACAAGATTTGAATATATTTTTGGCTAATTTTTTATTTAAAAAAATTTTTAGACCAAAATCTGCATTTTCAGCCTCCACAAAATTATAAGTCCACTTTTCAAAAAAGATATTTCCAAGTTTAGGAAAAATCTACAAAAAATTCAGCAAAGATACATAATGATATTATGAAAAAATAAAAAAGAACTAGTTTTCAAAATTTTGAAAAAATTTCTAAATTTATTTTTTGATATCCAGAACGAAGTAAATCTTGAATTACCCTGCCCAGAATTACTATCAGATGATATAGCTTCGTTAAAATCAACTGATGCAAAAATGTTTGGCGTAATACTTTATATAGTCAACATTAATGGAAACACTTTTAATAAATCCATAATTTATGTTGAAAGTGAATTGTTCGTAACTGACACTTTATTTCATTCGCATTCTAATAAAACGCATGCGGTGTCGAGTTTAGCTAATAAAAAGATGACCTTTATGCGAGAATATTATGAAAAAAGGAAAACTAATCTTGAGGAATGGCAACAATTGCTTCAAATAGAAACAATAGAATTTTTGTTGAAAAAGCTGGAACACACAACGAATTATCGCCGTCAAGAAACTCGATTAAATTCAATCAAACAAAAATTTGATGAATTAAAGAGTAGTAAGATTGTTAATTTTTACTAACTCGTTATATCCCTTTAATCCCTCTTAATCCTCTATATTTTTGAACTAAAGTAGAATTATTTAAATTTATTTTTAAAAAAGAAAATGCCCATCAACAAAATCAAGACGAGGCTAGCTCTTCGGATCCTCAGCAAATTCAAAGCGAGGCTGGCTCTTCGAATCCTCGACAAATTCAAGGCGAGGCTAGCTCTTCGAATCCTCAAGGAGAACGAAAAGGGAAAAAAACTAAATTATTTGGTGTTTTCATAGATTGAAAGACAGGTATTTCCTCGGGTATTAATATCCCGCCCCCCACCCCTATTTGAGTCTCAGATTAATTTTCCTTTTCTTTGCTGTCAATCATTTATTCCTTCAAACATTACAATCAAAAGGCAAGTATTAGGAAGGAAAAAATAGACAGCAGCAGCAAAAATCGGCCTAACGGCAAAATTCAGCATTTATAAAGAAGGAAATCTGACCTTTCCGAGGCAGGAAAAATAAAAATGAAAATTAATCTGAGACTCAAATAGGGGTGGGGGGCGGGATATTAATAAAGTACCTTTCATCGTTCAATCATTATTACTAAAGTTGGACTCATAACAAACAAGCATAATACAAGCAAAGCCCTTTTTTCCTTAACTTTCATATTCCGTACCGTACTACCGATATTAAATACCAACAATTTTAAAGATATCACGTATTTTCTCGATTAATTTTCCCGTCCATCAAATAATTCCCCACCCCAAAACAATAAAATTGGTCGTTAAACAAAAATTTATGAATGGGTTGGAAGAGTAATTTTCCTCCCTCGAATCACTGTTGGGCAGAAAAAATAATTCCCCAGAGAATTAATCGAGAAAAAGTGTATTCTCCTTTGAACTTATTTAATTTCATTTTATCAAATAATTTTTTTAACTTCTTATTTGCTTTTACATTTTACATCTTATCATAAATATTAAAAATAGAAAAATAGAAGATTTTTATTTTTTCGTATGATATAATAAAATTTTGATAATATAATAAAATTTTTTCCTATTTTCCATTCTTGTCACCTATTTTCAAGTTTTGTCACCTATTTTGGCATTTTTTACAACCTATTTAGGTACCTATTTTAAGTATTTGTAACCTGAAAATCCGATCCTACTGATGACCATTTTCAATGTTGATCACTCTTACGGCAAAAAAATTTTCCGCAAATGAAATCAATCGAGAGAGTGATAAGCCGGGAGATAGATGAGCATTGAAATTTATCAACTGGGACTTGAAAAATATTTTTTATCATTTTGATATCAGTTCTAGATGATTCTTATTACGTTTGTGAATTTCCGCTGTTGTTTCTTAATTTGTTTTATTTCTTTTATTTTTCCAAAACTTGTCCTAATCTGCTATCCAGCTCGCCTCTGTTGTCTTCAAATCTATACAGTGCCAAAATTGTGAAATTGCTTGGGAGGCTTGCATTTGGAGTGTCGCAGATCAAAAAGCCTTGTCACCAGCAATCGCCAACACAATTTTCCAGAAAATTCTTCCATAGTAACTAGCAAACCTAAATAATAAACTAAAATTAACGATAACCTTGAATTTACCACTTTTAACCAAAGAATGAATTATTATTTGTATTAATTCTGCGAAATTCACGCACAATAATGTTGGTGGTGGTTCTTCGAACACGAGCATTCTTGTATTGTCCGATGACCACTTTGAACTGACTCACCTTTCAATTGAAGAAATGTTTGTACTGCAGTTCAATGGAATATGAAATTTTTGTACTGAAGATTCTTTTATTTTTCCTCACTATTTAATTCAGCTGAAGTAATGACTAAAATTGATATAAATAATGAGTTAATGAAAAGTTAGAACCTCGTAAATTTAGAACCTCTTGATTTTCTGCTTAGTTTAGCTGCTCCAGCTGCTTTCTGAGCCCTCTTAACACTTTCAACTATTCTATAAATTTTTCTTCTTTTTTGCTCAGTTTTGCGTCATCTCCCTTCTTACTTTTTTCACTCAATAATTTATTAATTGTCGATTTACTAGGAATTGAAACTCTGTGTATGCAGTTTTTAAAATTATATTTATTTTTGTTAAGATTTTCTGCAAAAATAAAAACAAAAGCCTTTTCTGTAATATGCGAGCTTATCGTTTAAAAATTGAGTTATTCGAGATATATGATTTTTAATCAAATAACATCGGATTTGTAAAATTTGCATAAAAAGTATAGAAAATCAAAAACAAATTAGAGAAAAAGTGTAAATTGAACTTTTTTTAATTGGTTGGCGTTCTGCCACCTTAAATGACATTTTGTTTGCTATGGCCTTTGCTAATCTGCGGTGCTATTAATAACAAAAAACTGATTCACAAGCATTTGGTTAAGATATTAAGTTCACCCTGAAATAATTTCAAAAATTTTTGATAAATTTTAAGAAATAGAATTTGTGACAAACATTTACTTAACTTTATTAAAGTTTTAATTAATTTAAAAATCCGCTTTTTAAATATAATTATTTTTTATTAATTATTTTATTAAATTTATTTAAATATAATTAAAAAAATTAAATTATATGGGGATAAATTTTAAAAAGACACTAGGCTCTTCAATATTAGACCCAATGCTACGAGTACATTTATCGACTATTATAAGTATATTCCCCATTAAAATTAAACCAAAAACCAGGAAATAAAATTTGGATAAAGAATAGACTGTCTCGTTAAAAATTTTTATTTTAAACAATAGAATTTAATATAGAACAATGGAAAAAATTTTTTAAAGGAAAGTACTTTCAAAAATCATAAGGCATTTACTATACCCACCCCCTACTCTGTTGATTTAGATTAATATAAAAGCTTAATTGAAAATAAGGGGAAACATTCAAAATTCAACTAAAAAAACTTTTAAAACTCCTAAAAACTCCTAAAAATGTCAAAATTCTTTTTTGCCCTTGTAATAGTCACAATTGTTTTTATTCATTGTTGTGATGCTGGTAAAGGCAAAAACAAACAAAAGTCAAAGCCTCAGTCTGGTTACTCTAATCCTGCCGCAGGTCTTTAATTAAAATTTTTTAAAAAAATATAAATGATTTAGATTAATTTAAACAGTTTAAATAAAATTTTACAAGAACCCTCAGTCTACAAGAACCCCCGGCCTGCAACTCTCTTTCCTAATGTTCTAATAAATTTATTTAGAACATTAGGAAAGGAATTATTAAGGAAAGGAATTTCTCAAAATACTAGGCAAAAAATAGAGTGGAAAATTAAATTAGTGAAAAAATATTATTTTCTGGAAATAGTATTTTTAATTGAAAATCACAAGATTTTCAATCTGGTCGAAGGTAAAGGCTTGTACAAATGTCGGCAAATAATAAAGTAAAGCGGTTTGTCCCGTTCCCCAGTGCCTCGTTCTTTAGTTGTTGTTTTAGGCAGAGTCGCGCATGCTTGCAATCATGTGTGAACTCCGCAGAGTATAGAAATAGGTGAATCGCAGTGGGGGAATATAAGGGGAGACGTCTCTCCCTTTGATAAGCCGGCCGGCAACTCTTGAATGAATGAAGAAGTGATCTGCCTTTGCCTATTCCTTTAGGGCTTATATGCACCAGCTTACTTCCTTATTGCTTTCCCAAGGATAAGTTAGTTGCGATGTTTAGTTTAGATAATGGGCGGCTAATAACTCTTTGGGAATGGCCGTTTGTGGCGTTCTTTGCCTTTTCTTTGGGAACTTCCGCTACGTAGAGCGATGATCGCTCTTCACGTGTTTTTAGGAGTATACCGGCCTTACAATAATTTATAACTTGAAAAGGAGCTTGAAATCTCATAAAAATAATTATATGTTATAATTTTTAATTACATTAATTGTTTTAGGGATGGGCCAACAACAATCATCATCTGGTACTCAATCTGGTTTGTAATTTGAAGTTTTATTGAGTAAACCAAGGTTTAGGGTCCCCTATATTCCCGTATTGTTAATGATAGTTACAGAAGGGTCAGACTTCCTTCCTCAGATTCCCATCCATCTAATGCTTCTCTAATATAATGCACATTGAAAAAAAGCGTTTCGACTGCTTGAGGCTCAAAAGTATATGCTCTTACCGAGTTGAACGTTCGATACTTTTATTATATTTCTTCACAATAAATAATAAAAGATATGCTTAATTTTATAATTTTAGGTGACCAATCGTCTGTGAATACCCAACATTTAAATCATCTTATTGGTCACGCTACTGGATACGATCCTCATGGCAATGAATATGTTTTTCAAGGATAAAAAAGTTTTCTTGAAGAAAGTTGAAGATTAATTCTTTAAATGATTTTCCGTTAACTATTCGATCAACGATTATTGATATTCGATATATTTATTCTTTTATTATTTTCTAAAAATTTTTCGTAAGCATAAACAAAATCTTGGGTATCATTTGAAAAAATATTATTATGCCTATCCCAACAAGTTTTCTTCTCTTCAAAGCCCAACGAAAATTGAAATAAAACTGATATTTAATAAATTAGAAGCCTTGTTGAAGTTCGAAAAGCGTTTAAGACATGCAATATAATCTAACGATAAATGGATAGTAGTTGTAATTTATACAATATATACATTATATCCTAAGTTTATTTTGCCAAAAAAATTTTTTGTCCGTTTTTTCACAAAAACACATATCTGTTAACAAATTATATGAACGCTTTTGTTTATTAGTTGTTATTGTTACTAAGAACTATGAAAACCCAAGGTGTTCATATAATTTTTTAACAAGCATATAGTCTTTCCTAAAATTTTGATATTAGTGGATGGTTCAAAATCTACAAAAATTCTTACGAAAATATTTAATAATTCAATCGGTAATGTAAAAAAAAACGATGCTCTAATTACTTGCCTCATCGAGATAAAATCCCCAAAAAAATCGTGGTAGATTGTTTCCAAAATATATTTTTATATTTGTCATATCAATAAAATTTATTTTAATAATTTTTTAGTCATCCATATAAATTTAATTTTAATAAAAATTAATAATTTAATAACAATTTATTCTCACACATTTAACAATTTATTTTTAGATAAAGAAAAATATTAAAATTAAAATATGATAGAATTTTTAAGTTTTTTTTTAACAATTTTCCAACAATTAATGAAGAACAGCCCCCAATTTTGTGTTTTGTTTTTAAAGAAAACTACTTAATTTTTTGCCAAAATTCTTCAAATCCCCACATTTTGTCACATTTTTCTTACTTTCCTGATTAAAATTTAAAAAAATAAAATTTTTTAAACTATTTTTGACAATAATTAGAAGAGCCTTGACGGGCAAATGTCAAAATAGGGGGTCTTTTTTCTTTTCCAAACGTCTTTTGGTTCGGAAACCCTATTGCCGAAATTGAGAATTTATTTTTTTAGTTTGACAGGATCCCTTGTATATTTTCTAATTTTATTATTAAAAAATTATAATTAGGACCAATGTCATGTCCAATTCCAGGTGATTGCCCCCCTGGACCGAAAATTTGTCGGGGAACCATGTTCCGTCGCGGAGCCATAGGTCCCCGACTGATTTTGGCAAGATGCCGCATGATGGAAGGAATGTTGTAAAAAACAGTTTTCCCGCATAAGCGCGTCTGCCATAGCCATTGAGCCCGGGAAGAATCCCGGAACTCCCTATTTTGACTTGTGAAGGCCAGGAATAAGTAGAAATAATCCATTATTTGTAGCTCATTTAATGAGTACAAGGAAGTTGTTAATTAAGCAATGGTGAATTAAAATAATTATTAATGATAAAGAATAATTTATAAATATTTATTTAAATAAAGTCGAATAATTTAATTTAATTAATAAATACAAGTAAATATGTCAAGGGGAATAATAATTATAAATATTTACATTGATGGGGAAAATAAAGGAAAAAGTGGATAAAAGGGAATTATTCTATAGTTCCTATTTACATTGAAAAATGATTGTGAAAAGTGAATGAATAGTTAAAATCGTTAAGAATGTAACTAATTCCTCTCCATTTCTTTTTCTTATAAAGATTAATTCTTGTTGTTAACATTAGTATTTTCATGCTGGGGAAGGTCTTCTTAATGTCGATATCAGGGTTTGCCGTCGCAAACTTTTCAATAAACTTAACCATCTGAAACTCAACGTTAGTAATAGATTCTAAGTTTATAAACCTTTTCATTAGTTAGAAGACCTGAAGTGCGCCCTAGGGTGTCTATTATCCCGTCTTTTAAACCTTCTTTATACAACAGCCCTAAACAATCTTTAAAGACTGTTATCGGTTCCCAGGAGGATTCCTCCTCGAGGAAACCCTCCCATTGAACCAAAACCTTTTTATATCACCGTTATTCTCGAAGTTTTTATCGAGGATTTTTTTTTAATATTCCAAAATGCCACACCATTCAGCACATAGTGTGGAAGCACATCCTCCTATAAATTTATTGTTTTTCTTGTTATTATTGTAGATTGTTTTAAAAAAAATTTATTTTTATTATAATAAATTATTATTGAAAATATTTTTAAAGGTTTAAATTTTATTTATTTTAAATTATTTATTAAAAGTAAATTTTTGAATAAAAAAAATCAGGAAAGCTCGTCGCAACTCTGCTAGTGCAGGTGCATGTGTGCTGTCCTGATCAATCCTGCTCGACGCGACAATAAAGTGCATTTGTGTAGGATTGACTTTTCAAATTTAAAAAATTTATTTTTATTTAAAAATTTTATTTTTGTTATTTTCATTTAAATTTTTTATTAATTTTACTTATAAATACAAAGTGTGGATATGTGGGAATTGAACATGTACGGGGAGAGACCAATTGATTGGGAGAATGGCAGTGTGAGCGAGAAGATGAGCGGGAACGAGATCGAGATGATGAGCGGGAACGAGATCGAGAATGTGGTTCTATAATATATTAGAAAAGTTTATTTTAATAATTTAAATCGAAAAAAAAATTTTTTAAGATACTCATAGTTGAAAAGCAAGGTACCGGCGGATGCTCTGAATTTCAAAAAATTATAAGAAAAATTAGACCTATAAAAAATTAGACCTATAAAATTAAACCCTTTTGTGGCGCCGTTTGTTTGTTAGTTTGTCGGTTTTTAAGAAAAATACGACGTTTGTATTTTTCTTTAAGTACAAAAAATATAATTGAAAAAATCTCTTTGATTACCCGTATCACCAGCATTAGGTATGGCATTTGTTTTTGGTCTCTTAAATTTGGGGGGAGAAGTCAGTGTATCATTTGTATCTGGAGTTGTAAGGCCTCGTCTGTTTCCTTGAAATTGAATAATAGAAAATAAAAAATTTTATATAACCTCTTTTGTTTAGTTGTCTAATACGGCCCGACATAATTAATTGTAAAATTTAGGGTACTTTTCCTTTATACGACCACAAACTGAATGCCAGCAGAAAATTTAAGATCTAGATATAAATTGAAAAGATAAGAGTTTAGAATTAAAATTTGTTCAATGACTATAATAATATTTAAAAAGAAAAACGTTTGGAATCAAAATTTGTTCAATGAGTAAAAAACAGAATTGAAAATTTATGATTTATTGGAAAATATTTAAAAAAATTTAAAAAATAAAAATGAAAAAATTAAAATTTAGAATAAATATAAATGCAAAAATTAAAATTTAGAATAAATATAAATGCAAAATAAGCCGAATAATTTCACAAGCAGATTCATTAGAAAATATTAAATATTGACTGTTTGGGAAAAAAAGTTTATTGACTGCTTGGGAAATTGACCTATAGCAAGATACATACTCAACTTATTTGAATTTTTCTCCTTTTCCTTCTTACCACAGAAAACCCCCTGCCCAAAAGATCGCCATCCTTAATATCAACCAACAAAACTATTACGTAATTTAAATCTTCCACTAAACACCTAATTGCAATTCCAATTAGTTAAACATATCCCCTTACACCTACCACCACACCCTTTGAAAAACACCTCTCTACAAACCAATTGGTTCCCCTTACCCCCTCTCCTAATTAATCAAAAACACCCCATTAGGTTTGGATTTCCCCCTTACACCTTCCCCCCATCGCGCACCAAACCCTTCAAAAGGCGATGAAACAGCATTTATGCAACAACAATATGGTCAAAAATGGTCATACTCGAATTAAGGAAAGAATTTTATACGAAAGTTTTCGAAAAAGAAAACTTTGAGTGAAAACAAAATTATTTTCTATGAAAACGATTTGAAAGAACATTTTTTAAATTAAACCCTCCAAAAAATAGAATATTTAAAAGTCGCAATTCAAAAAAATAAAAAAGCCCTAATTCATTTGAAGTTTACTGAAATATTAAACTTTATCCAGCAACCTTAAATAAGTAATATATTTTCAAAATGAAAAATAGCGACTATTAAATATTTTATATACAATTCTGGACGATTATTGATATTATATATATGTATTTATTCATTCTGTTATTATTATTCTCAAAATTTTTTTGTAAGCATAAACAAAATCCTGGGTATGATTTCTAAAAAATATTATTATGCCTATCCCAACAAGTTTTCTTCAATACTTGTTGATAAAGCAAAAAATGAATTTTCTAAACTGATTCGACACACCCCAAAATTTAACAAAATATGTACTGATTAGTGTCCGCCGGAAGTTCCGGTTCAGTTAGGCCGAAAGTTCCGGGATTTTTTGGTATCAATTATCTTTGAGTTTTTCTCGTCAAGGCATATCCGCATACAAAATATGCATTTGCATGTTTCTTCAACTTTAATCTAGAGTTGGAAAAAATGATACCGGTATCGGCCAATCCGAGAAAAAAACATCTTTGAGGATTTTGTTTTTTTGAGTCAGTATCGTTTCTCGCCGAAAAATGGACCGAGAATTTCAGTATCGGGTTCGAGAACGAGAATGAAAAAACCGATACCGATATTGGAAAAAAGACGAGAATCACGGTATCTTTATCGGCCTCGTCTTTTCCAACTTTACTCTAATCCTAATACTTAATATATTTTTACAACGTTAAAATGGAAGGCAAATTGTTAACTTAAATCTATTTAATTTTGAAATTCCGTTACTACCAGAAAAACAGGCCCATTATTCGCAAATAAAACATTTAATTTAAAAAACCACTTTAAAATCTAAACCGTTTTCCTACAATAAACTTTTTAAAAATTATTTTTAATTTATTAAAAATTTAAAATTAATGTAAATAGAGAATTTAAAAAATTTAAACAATGAAGGGATTTTAAAATTTATAAACAAAGGAATTTTTGAAAGGAAAGGTTAGACGGACAATTAAACATGTGAGTTACAG